TCTTTGATCTGGACGAGGAGAGACCTATCGTTGCATCTAGATAGCAGCTTGCTAGCTTTTAAGATCCCAGTCGCTACTTGCCAAAGTAGGAGGTGGAACAATGTTTTGTATAGTATGTTATGCCAATTGAGCTTGATGTCCCCTGCGACTGTGGTCCCAAGCCGACAGGTTCAACTACTTGGTCTCTCTGGGTAGCTGGCTGTGACCAAGCAGTGACCACACCCTTGCCCCTTGCCAGCTCTACTATACACCTGGGAATTCTGATCATTCACATAAACTTACAGGACCATTGTCTGCCAACCCTATACATGTTCTTGGATACACTCCCCATTTCATAGACATACATAATAGTTCAGCCTGTCCACCCATCTGTCCACCCATCTACCCATGTTTGTCTTCACTGACAATGCAGTACTATGTACAAAAGGGTTCATCTTTGTTGTCTGTACCTCCCATGCACCTCTCTATGTCTTTCTCATCCTCAATGCTGCCATATTGGTCACTCACCTTGGGTACATTGCCGTTCTCTTCATCCAAATCAATACTTATATCTATCTACCTAGCAGCGTTCCCTCCCTTCCCCTTCTACCCCTGGTAACCGACAAAGAAAATTTCCTTCTATAGATAAACCTTTCCTTAACTTTTACAATAACAGACTAATACAATTTTTGTCCTTTTGTGATTGACTTATTTCACTCAGCATAATGTATAATTTTCTCCCCAAGTTTAGAACAGTCCATTCTATCTTGCAACTCTCTTAACTTCCTCACCTTTTAGAAGTTCTGTAACTACACAGTCTTTTCCCTCTTTTTGTTTGTAGTTGTCCTCACTTGCCAATTGATGTCTCTGGTTCCCTGTTTACAATCTTGTAAGCTCATTTTACTTTGGATATGTCCATAGCTGTGGTTTCTGGGTTATGTCATCTTGTGTATTAATGTTGTTGTTGTTAGGTGCCATCAAGTCAGACCCGACTCATAGCAACCCCTCCTTGGGTTTCTGAGGCAGTATCACTACAGAAGTAGATTGTTTTGATTTTTTTTTCTGATTGATCCCTTTCCAAAGAAGTATTCAGGTATTTGTCTTCAGTCTCATTAATTCTGTCTTCTATCACATCAATTCTACTCTTTTGCCCTTCCAATGTGTTATCTATTTCTGACAATTTAGTATTAATCTTCTAGATTTCTATCTGTAGATTTAGAATAATTTTTAATTTTTCATTGATTTTGTTAGTTTGTTCTTGTATTTTCTTCCAAAATTCTTCTAAGGTGTTTTCCTTGCTCTGTCTCTCAGTCCTTTGAAGATACCTAAATATAATTCTTTTGAATTCCTTATCAGAGAGTTCCAGTGCTGCTTCTTCCTCAGGGATATGTTCTGGGTCTGTATCCTGCTCCCTTGTTTCGACCACTTTATCCTGCTTCTTTGTGTGGACTGTGATGGTCTGTTGTCTCTGAGGCATCATGGCATTGTTGTATTTAGAGCTCTGTTAACTGTTTGTGAAGAGCAGCAAGGGTGATTCAGGCTCTTCTTGGTGGTTGTTTATCGTTGGCCCATTGGTGGAGAAGGAGCTCAGTAAGTGAAGTTACAAGGTGTGGGTGTAGTGTCTTGTGGGGACTGTTGCTATCTCCCACTCAATTAGACAAAAATTACAATTGAATAACTATCAAAAAACTAAAAGCACATGGTCAGAAAACACACCACGTAATCATACAGGAAAAGTAACCAAAAAAAGAAAAAAGGGAAAAAGAAGAAGAAAACCTGCAATATCTGGGGATAGGACACTAAGAGAAAAAAGGTAGAGAAGGAGAATAAGGAAGGAAAAAATGGGAAAAATGCAAAAAGAAAAACAAGGAACAGTGTTAAACATGAGGAAAAAGGGGGGAAAAAACAACTTAAATGAAAAAAAAAGAAGAAAAAAAAATTTCAACCAGGAACAGGTAAAAGAAAAAATGCTGAAAACTAGGACCTGGGAGGGGAAGAATAAGAATAATAGTAAAAAGAACAGAAGTATTATTAATAATAGTTGTTTTAAAACAGACAAATACAAGCAAACTAATCACCAGTAAAAAGAAAGTGAAAAAGAAAAAAATAAAAATAATAAAAAAAGGAAAAACATCGGTGGAGGACAGGGCAGGGCACACAGACTGTGATGGAGTTCCTGTGGGCCCAGAAGGTAGATGGGGAGTGGGGGATGGCCGCACCTCCATTCACCAAGCTGGTATAGGATATAAGAGTAACAAGAGCAATGTTGCACCTTTTGAGTCTTGCAGGTCCGGAGTGTCTTTGGGGTTGGTGGCAAGCAGAATGTGTTCTTAAGCCCCAGGAATCTGCAAGAGTGCTGTCTCTTTAAATATCCAAAATGGTCAAGCCGCTTTTAAACATTCAAAATAATGGTGCCTTCTGGACCAGCAAAAGTCCACAGCTCAGCCTGCCTTTCTTTTCACCTTCTCTGTTTATTCCCCAGCCACCAGAGCAGTCCTCCGTGCAATCCCTGGCTGGCAGGGCTGATTTTTAGGTTAATTCTTAGGTCCTACCACCATCCGGGAATCTCCAAGCTGTCTGTGCCGTGCCGTCAGGATCGCTCCGGATTGCTGCCAGACCGTAGCTCTGTCTGTCTCCTTTTTTGGTATTTTCATGCAAATACTTGTGCTAGTTGGGGTTTAGTCCACTTCTATATCCTCCCCTTCAAGGCTCAGGGGTCCAGGATTATCTTCTGTGTCTGTGTTAATTGGTTTCCCTTTTCTTTATTGAAGAGGGTCTGTGGAGTCTTTCTGCCTAGTCCGCCATCTTACCAGAACTCCTGGAATGGTCCCTCCTGACAACATGACCAAAGTAGGTGAGATGAAACCTGGCCATTCTCACTGCCAAGGAGCATTCTGGCTGCACTTCTTCAAGGACAGATTTGTTAATTCTTTTGGCAGGTCATGGTCCTTTCAGTATTCTTTGCCAATGCCACAACTCAAAAGCATTGACTCTTCTTCAGTCTTCCTTATTCAATGTCCAGCTCTCACATGCATATGAGGCACTTGAAAATACCATGGCTTGGGTTAGGCCCACCTTAGTCTTGTAAGAGACATCTCTGCTCTTCATCACTTGAAAGAGGTCTTTTGCAGTAGCATTGCCAAGTGTAATATGTTGTCTGATGTCTTGACTGCTGCTTCCATTGGTGTTGGTTGTGGAAGGAAGTAAAATGAAATCTTTGACAACTTTAATCTTTTCTCCATTTATTGTGATGCTGCTTATTGCTCTAGTTGTAAGGATTTTCATTTTCTTTATGTTGAGGTGTAATCCATACTGCAGACTGTAGTGTTTAATCTTCATCAGTAAGTGCTTCACGACATCCTCACTTTAAAGTTATATTTACATAAAATATGTATTTATACACAAAAATATTGTGTGTGTGTGAAGCTGACGAACTGCTGATGACTTGATGGCAATTAACAACAATAACAAAGAAACTAGACTAAAACAAAATTGAACAAGCTGGAGAATTTACATGATTAGGTATCAGGAATGTATTATGCATAAAAATATTATACACAGAAAAATATTATGTTTTTAAAGCTAAGATTTTAGTGTCAGTTCTTCTCAACCTTACATGATCATGCAGGGCAGAAAGTTGTGTAAGGAAAATGTTACCACAAATTCAGATGTTTTTGACCCTTGAATTTGAACGGAAAGCTTTCATGTAGTTTCTGATTACTTTGAGTTGTTGGATCAAGGCATCCATTTTCCCTTTTATTGCTCCCTTCTTCCCAGTACCCCCAACTTGAAATATTAGTCATATTTTGGCTCAGTTTGCAATTTGTCAAATTGGTGGAAGAAACAGCATGGGACCAGGAAAACCTTTTCTATTTTAGCTTTTCTAAGTGTTAACATGTCCAAAATAAATTTGTTCTTGAAATTAAATGCTCTGAACTAACCTTTTAAAGCCTGGAAATCTGTAATCACATAATTTGTACTAAGGGAAAGGAATTTAAAATAACAATTTTGGTTATCTTAAAACCACAAGATTTGGTGGCCAGGAAATGTAGGAGAAGATATTTAACCTCACTGGTTACAAAAAGAAAGTAAAAGAAAACATACTAGACTATTTTACCAATAAATTGGCATTTTTCAATGTAGAAGGAAAAAAGAAGTGTTGATATTTTGAGTGGGCACCTCACTCAGGCTCACTCGAAGATAAATAGTTGTAAAGCAATTTAACATTTATCAAGTACTGTAGAGATTTTAATGGCTTTGTTGATGACTTTCTGGGAATTTAGCCTAAGGAAATAATCAGAAATCGGCATAAATATAATTTTAACATCAGGGATTTGGAAACAACCTAAACATCCAACAATGGGGGATTGATTAAATAAAGTATGAAAATATATGGCATGGGCTTTTCTGCCAGTAATAATGGCAGAATATTTGGAAAAAATTAATCGCATGGAAAAATGTAAGTTACTATAAAGTGAAAAAAAAAAATGACTCTAGCATGAAATATAATTGCACACATGCATTGTGTATATGTATGAATGTCAGTTTTAAAAGTACATCAGAATATAACATCTTTGAATAAAAGGAGTGTTGGTGATTTTTATTTTCTTCTTTGTGCTTTTCTGTATTTTCCAAATGATTATAAGATAATTGTAATTAGAAGAAAATCAAGTGCTTTATAATTCCTTGTGGTGAGACAACCATAATATAAGGGGAAAAAAGTCTGGTGGAAATTAGAACAAAATCCCATCAGTGATTTTTGATAGGGAGTTGGGACTTGGGTTTTTTGTTTGTTTGTTTTTGAAATATTATTCTTTAATGTGCTTCTGTTAAGGATATAACTTCTACTAGGAAAGCACATGTAAAATAAATCTAGAAAAATACTTCATAAATCCATGCCACATTTAAATGGAAGTAGTAATTTCCAAATATTCTTTTTGACTGTGGTCCATCACCTTATTAAGGTTGATGAGAACTGTTAAAATGGTGGTAGATGATAGAAGTTTTCTTTAATCTTACAGATATTCCTGAAATTCCAGAAAGCATCTCATTCTGTAAAGCACTACAGATAGCTGACTTCAGCGGAAACCCACTGACTAGGTAACTTTTCTGCTTAATTTTCTGTTCTTTAGTACTAAGGATATCTTTTTTAAAACCATGCCAAGAACACAACCAGATTTTCCATCTTGGAAGTGCTTAGGTGGATCATTTGGAAATTTTTGTCTTTATCAAAGACTGTTGACTTTCACAGATAATTATAAATAGCACTGTACCAGATGTTGACAACGAAAGGCACACAGTGCTATTGATAGAAGTATTAAAGTATGTTGTAGAAGACTGGGGGAGGCACAGTGGTGTGTAATAGTATGAAACATTTCTAAAGTAATATGAAAAAATGCTTTTTAATTCCTTTATTGATCAGATCTATCATATGGGTCTGAAAGAGATAAGACTGAATTCTGAACTCCCAGGGAGCTTACATCAGTTATCTAAGGAGAGATCCTGTTAGAGATAGTATTTTCCACTCCAGTAATTAAGCATATATATTTATCATTTCAACTTTCCTCTAACCCTTCCTCACTTTTTATTTTATTATTTTTTTTTAACTCTGTTGACACCATTATCTCCTTACGTTAGCAATAGTAGTAGAGATTTTTTTGGAGTTCATCTTTCCAAATAAAGCCACCTGCCACTGTTTTAAGTATCTGTGGTGGCATAATGGTTAAAACATTCAGTTGCTAACCAAAAGGTCGGCAGTTCAAACCCACCAGCCACTCCTCAAGAGAAAAATGAGGTAGTCTGCTTCTGTAAAGATTTACAGCCTTGGAAACCCTAAGGGGCAGTTCTACTCTGTCCTGTAGGGTTGTTAGGAGTTGGAATCACTTGATGGCAGTGGGTTTTTTGGTCAGTGTTTTAAAGAGCCCTCATGATGAAGTAGTTAAATCACTTGGCTGCTAACTAGAAACTTGGCAGTTTAAACACACCCTTTGCCCTATGGGAGAAAGAAGAGGCAGTCTGCCTCCATAAAGATTTACAGCCTTGAAAACCCTACAGAGCAGTTCTACTCTGCCCTGTAGGGTTGCTATGAGTCAGAATCAACTTGACAGCAGTGGGTTTGGTTTTTCAGTTTGGTTACTGTTTTACTACTGATTCCAGCATTGCCCTTCCGGTGTAACACAGCTCACAGCCCGGGCCCCCTGTGGCTCCTCGCTATGAGCCCATTGACCACTAGCTTCCAGGCATTTGTGTTGCCAGAAGAACTGAATTGTTGCCCACATGGCAATGCAGACAGCTTTTGGGAGTGTTTTAGAGTCTCTTTGGGCCAGGTGGTCTCTATGCTCTAAGTAATCTCAGAAGAACTCCCCCCTCCCTGTGGTAGTAGATCTGGGTAAATTGAGATTGAGTTAAAACTTACCCCACCCATTTCAAAATTGTTTGGGACTGTGTAAGTCCATAGTTTTGGGGAATGCCCCGTTTTGTCTTGGTTGTTTTCCCCTTATGTTTTACAAGTATTTGTGGTTTTCTTCTTTTGAATTTTTTATTACTGACAAATAGTAATCTACTAAGTGCTAACTTAAAATATAGCTTTCTCATTCACTTTCTTCAAGTTTTGCCCCTTTTCTTAACTATCTTCCATACAGTTGTGCCCTTTCTTAAAACCTCTTGCTGCTCCCTCTCCTCGTCCCTATAAAATACAGTTCAAGCTCCTCAATATGCCATGCCAGCAGCCCTTCCTGAGGTGGCCTTGACCTGGTGCTCCACCCTCCTTGCCCTCAGTTATCAGATGTGTTAGACGTCACACTTTGCTGTAATAGAGGGCTCATAGGTAGTTGTTTCACCCCCTCCCTTCTTCATGCCAGCCTGCTCACTCCTCCTTCAGGATACCACTCAAGCATACCTTCCTCAAGGAAATCTTTCCTGATTACTCCTAATTAGTCCCTCCCTTGGGCCTTCATAATGCTCTGTGTGTACTTTTGTCATAACCCTTGACATTTACACTTACATGATCACTTAGACTGAACTCCCCAACTACACTAAGTTCCCTCCTCCCTCTATTTATCATTGTTGCACCTCCATTTGTACAATAATTCCTGGAATGTAGTAAGTAACCAAAAAAAACAAACTCACTGCTGTAGAGTCAGATCCGACTCATAGCTGTAGTAAGTGCTCACTAAATGCTTGTTGAGCAGAACCGAACTGTTCATTGTCAAGGCAGCTTACAGGGTTAGGCAAGCCGGGAAATACTCATCGTGGTATGCTACTCTTGATTTTTTTTTTTTTTTTTTAAACCACTGATTGCTTATTCTCCCTGTTTCTTTACTTTCTTTTCTAATGTCTGCTGACATTAGAATTTGACATTATATCAGAACTTTCTCAACTACAACATACCCATGTTTCATTCAGCTTAGTTAAAGTTTATTTATTTATTTTTAACCTAGCCTCATTTATTTTGGAAGGTTGCTTAAAGTAAAGCCAGCTTGATTTGGCAAGTATACTACTTTACAAATTAAAACGTAGTATCTGTAAATTGAAGGAGTGTTAGAAATCATTTAGTGTGGCCTACTTATTTCATTGCTAAAGAAACTAAGGTCAGAAGAAGCTAAATGACCTTTCACGGTCTTCAGGCCAGTGAGCGGCAAGCTTAGATTAGAATTCATTTCTCCTAACCTTAAATCTGTGCTTTCCCATTACACTTAATGGTTTGTCTCTTAATATTAATAGCCAGTTTTTTTTTAAAAGCATGTCAGTAATTAAAAATACATTTTATTAATGTTTAAAAACATTTTTTCTACTTCTAAAATTATAAAATGATACCTACTTTCTTTTTTTTTTAAAAAGAATGTAGGCAGAACGGATAAGTTATATCTTTTTAATTATGGTAAGAATGTTACCTCTGCTGTGCTATGGAAGAGCTTTCAACTTTGTAAACACTTTTCTGAGTATGTATTTTAATGACCTTGAAAATTCCAGTTAATACTCTCATCTCACAGGCTTGGATTTGGTTTTGAACTTTGGCATTACCTATATTAAACGGCAAATAGTAGCATAGGGTTTGTTTTCAAAAGAAGAAACAGAAAGAGAAAAGACATGGAAGATTCTAATCTGGAGACTATTACTAAAGCCAGAAATCTCTTCCCCTGGGGCGGGAGGGGAGTAGACAGTATATTGTCTATCTTTACATGGAATGACCTTTAGCAGTTTATATGCAATGCAATGTTTGCATTCTATTAGGGTTTTTTTTTTCTTCCTAAATACTGATAACCATAGAAATATTGAAACTATGTAAGTTCTCAAAGATTAGAATAATATTATTTTGAAATCTTGCTCTTCTGTAGAGTTTAAAGTGTAAAAATGTTCGTTTTGTGTAGAACATAGTGAAATATATCATTGCCTCAAGTGATTGGCATCTTAAATTGAATTCAAAGAAAAAAATTTGAGAAAGGAGAAATTGGCTGTCAACTGATCAACTCCAAGTAATCCATAGCTTTGCTGTGGGTACTAAAAGCTCCAGGAAGAAAAATTGTTGACTAATTGTCCTGTCTTTTATTATAAGCTTGTTGAAGTGACTGAATTTCCTCTTCATTTTCTGCTCATCAGTAGTGTTGTCACTCTTAGGCATTTTAGTTGCAGCAGTAGTTTCTCATTTTCTTTCATAGAGCACTCAGTCATCTCAACTGGTTTTCCCCTTTGTGATTAGAGCTTGCATGTTTTCCCTCTTTAATTATTTCTAATTAGCCTGTCAAAAAGTATTTACTGTACCCCTGTACTTCTGCTTAGATAGACCAAGTCCTTGTTTTTATATATACCATGCATAACATAATGTAATTTTAGGAGGTTATTTCAATTAGCATGTAGAAGAAATCATTATATTTATGCTTAGTGTACACAACACAGCACTTCAGTTTTAATTAACAGCATTTTCTGTTTTAGGTTGCCAGAGAGCTTTCCTGAATTACAGAATTTAACATGTCTTTCTGTAAATGACATCTCACTGCAGTCCCTGCCTGAAAATATTGGCAAGTAAGTTTTTATATGAAGCTGTGTGTAATCAGGGTGAAAGGACATCTGTGCCATCACCTCCACCTTCCTTCCCTTTTACAGCTCCTAGTTTCTTATACAGGAAGTTGTTTCCCTAACCTTGAGTGTCGCCCTCAAGAAAGAAAAATACCACAGCCTCCCCTGGTTTTGCCTCTAGTTGCCCCTAGATTTTAATGATTAAAAAGGATACTGCTACTAGTTACTAGTGAAAAAATGTGTTAAGATGCTTTCTTTTAAACTGATGAATTCCAAAATAGTTAATTTAGGCAAAGTAGCATGTGTCATGTAGGTGGGTAGTAAACACTGTTCATTTATGAAACAACCACTCTTGGTAATTTTAAACCATGCTAGGGAGAAGAGCAAATAAACTCAGTTGAAAGCTTAAAGTGTATGCGTTAACAACAGTTACATCTTAAAAGTTTGGGAGCTGTCAATCTGAGAATAGGGAGTGACAATGGGGCATTTGGGAGCCAGGTGTGTGATTGAGAGAAGAGTGACATCGGCACATTTCCACGTTGCTGAGGTAGAGGTCCTGGGGGATTTAAGCCAAAGCAAGGAGGGAAAAAAACCCTTTGAAGGGTTTGCAGTGAATGTATCTGTGATAGCTTCCCTCGGATGAATTAACTGAATTACCCTAGCAGACCTTTTCCATCTTTCCAGGGTATAGAGGGTTACATCAGGCTGATCACAGACATTTAACCACCTAAAATAAAAGTCTCACCCGACCAGCTTAACCTGGTATACCAGTGCTCCCTAGCATCATAATGGATTTTCTTTGTGTTTGCTTGTGTTCCCTAAGTTCTAAGACATAAGAGAAACTTGTCTTTTGAGAATCATAGTAAGCAGTTAAGTGCACTCTATCAGACACCTGTTCTGCAAAGGTTTGCTTTCCAGAGATCGTTAGGAGATTTTGGAGTCTCTTCATGGCACAAATGGTGTATACGTGGCCACTAACCTAAAGGTGGGAAGATCAAATCTACCCAAAAGCTCTGTAGAAGAAAGTCCCAGTGATCTGCTTCAATAAAAAGTACAGCCAGGACCACTCTATGGAGTACACTTGTACCCTAGGAAACACAGGGTCACCGTGAGTCTGAATTGATTCGGCAGCAATGGGCTTAAGTTTTTTGTTTTGTGTGGTGCACACAGTTAACATGCTTGGCTGCTAACTAAAAGGTTGAAGGTTTGAGTCCATCTAGAGGTGCCTCAGAAGAAAGGGCTGGTGACTTACTGCCAAAAGATCAGCTATTGAAAATTCTATGGAGCATAGTTCTGCTCTGACAGACATAGGGTCTCCATGAGTCAGAGTTGACTCAGTGATGACTGGTGGTCTTCAGGAGTTTTTACAGATACTTTTTTCTTCTTTCTTCCCTTAATTCAATTGGCTGACCCTGTTTCAGCCAGGAAGTAAGTGTGTTTCTGAGGTACACACGAGGTATAATGTTTAATGATGTTTTAACATTTTACTGGTAGAATTTCTGGTTAAGAATTATGCCCTCAAGAGAACAATGTGGAACAAAACTCAAATTCATTTGGAGAAAAAAAAAGGGGGGGGTGGGGACCAGGTTTGCTGGTCCGATAGAGCCTGGTGGAACCACTGAGACTATGGCCCCTAGCTGCCCTTTAGGTCTGGAATTGAACCCACACCTGTGGCTTCCAGCCAAATAATAGACAGGCATATGAGTTGAACATTTACCTGAGGTAGATACACTCCTCAGAGAGAACAATCATGGGAGAAAGAAGGGCTGCTTATGCATAGGGAGACAGCTCAGGGGGCAGGAGTTCATGGAGGGATGGACACTGGGAAGAGGTACTATCGGGAGGAAGGGGAAGGGGAGCTGTTGCATTGTTGTAAATTATAGTCAGTGTCATGAGACAAAGTATATGTGAACTGTTGTATGGAAAGTGAATTTGCTCTGTAAATTTTCATCCAAATCACTATTAAAAAAAAAAAAATTATGCCCTCAAGTTCTAAGGAGAGGAAGGAGACAAGAAGGCCCCACCCAGTACAGCCTGAGTTCATGGTGTCAGTTGCAGAGAATGTTTTACTGTGTATGTCATGTGCTTGTCCTTTACCTTTGCTTTATCAAGTTTCATGTTATTTTTAGTAAAAACAAAACAAAACAAAAAACAAAAAAAAGTCTAATATAATAGTCTTTTAAACCCGTGTGCTGACACTTACCCTCCTGCTCCTCAGAGTCTCTGGAACTTAATTTGCTTGGTCCTCCCCTTTCATTCTTTCTCAGCCTGTTGTTACCCAGATGGTCTTCCCTGCTACCCCCCTGATTCCTGCTTTCCCTTTGCCCCTCCTGTTTTCATGCTTTTTAAAAGGTTAATGCTTTGAGAGAAAATTTGTTCTTGTTTAATCAGAGTACTTCTCCCATCACCTTGACTGTTTTAATAGACAATGTTATTTAGATGTCATTGTAGAATAAATTTCAGCATTCCTTAATCCCATTCTTTTCTGTTAATATCTGTAACTGTTTTTGTTGGTATTTAGTGTTTGTGTATTTGCACTTTGATCAGTAATAATGGTAGTAGCTTTTTTTGTCCTTCGCTTTAATCAGCTTGGGTGACTATTACAGCACTATGTTTATTGATTGTTTCCTGAAATAAATGCTGCTTTGAGCTTAAATCTGTGATCACCTAAGAAGTAAGAATATGGGGTCAGATAAGTGAATTAATTGATTCTTATTAGCTCAGTTTGTGAATTAAATGAGAAAAGGGGAGTTTCCTATACTGTGTTGTTAATAATTTTCTTATCATAGCAAGAAATTCCATGATTTCTTCCCATTGGATTTAAGATTTATGCATGTAAACTAGAGTAAAAGCCTGGTAGGAGACGGCTTTGAGAGAAATAACTCCAGAATTGACTCCTTCATGGAAAAGATTGTGCACCATGGTGTTTTAGATGATGCTGAAAAGGCACTTGAAACAGGTGAAATAATTACTGTTGAGGCAATCTTATATATGCATAAGTATGCTACATTTTGAGCAAATCATTATTTGAAACTTATGAAGTAGGCTTTTCTCATTCATAGGATTCTTTAGTTTTTCAAAGGATTTCCAAATACTTTCTTGAGAGGATGTAAGGTATTTAGTTAACCAAGTATTAAGTAACTGGTATGACTTGTCAGGGATAGCATGGTTTTTAAAGAAGGCATACCTATTTGACAATTTTAAAAAATTTCAAAAGGACATGAAACTGGCCATTTGGTTGATAATACTCACTGTTACTTCTGTGGATTCTGAAGTCTTTAGATAAATTAACCCTGATTCTTTTGGTCAGATGAGTAAGTCACATTCTACCAAAGCAAGCTCACTGCTGTCAAGTCGGATCCAACCCATAGTGACCTCTCCTTAGGTTTCTGAGATAGTGTCACTACGGAAGTAGATTGCTTGATCTTCCTTCCACCAGCCTTTTGAGCATCAGTGAAGGCAGGCCATCTGTTCCCCCTTTCAGCATCTAGGGCAGTACTTGGAATTACTGGGAAAGTTACGGATATATCAAGGACCTTGGGGCCCCTTAGGATGGACAGGATTGGCCATATGGGGAGGGTAGAACCAAATCCCTTAACTAGGCTTAAGTAGACTTGGAGAGAGGAGCCCCCGATGGCATAGTGGTTAAGCACTCCGCTACAAACCAAAAGGTTGGTGGTTTGAACCCACCCAGCAACTCCACAGAGGAAAGACCTAGAGATCTGCTTCCATAAAGATTACAGCCTAGAAAACCCTGTGGGGACAGTTCTACTCTGTCACACAGGGTCGCTGTGAGTCAGAATCAACTCGACAGCACCCAATTATAAAACAGACTTGTAGAGCATGGGGCTTGGGAACCCCTGCGAGCATCTATCCCATCATGTGTTTGATTGCCCAGGGTTAGTAAATTTGAAGAGTTTTAAGGAGTTGATGGCAGAACTGTAGCTGGAATACCTCTCTTCTAGTTTTAGTCGCTTCTCCACCTGCCATCACCACAGACGGTCAGTTCACAGGCCAATATTTTTGACCCACAGTTGGTTGAATCTGGAGATGTGGAACCCATGGATATGGAGGGCCATATGTATTTCTGTATCTCTCTCAATTTTAAAATATTATTTGATGCCTCTGTGAGTTTGCCACTGCTTCCCTGGGTGCTTCAATGAATAATGGCCAAATGCTGTTGCTATCTTGAATACTGGGGTGCATTATTATGAATGCTTGGATATGCTCAGTATGACCCATTGGTGTATGGAAAGAAACTGTTGGTTGTTTTTTCATAGAAAACATGCAGAAGGAAACTGCCTTGTGAGTATTTGCTGCCTCTCAGGTCCTGAGTCACATGTGGCTACTGGCCATGTGTATGGGAGGCCTCTGGGGAGAATGCTGAATATCCCACAACCCAGAGAGGTCAATGGGATCACCTTGATGGGTCTGTTTTTAGTTCACTTTTCATGTTCTACACTGCAGGGTATCATCAGTATGGTTAATTTAATGAAGCAAGCCTTGAAAATGAGAGAATCTATATAATACCTTGTAATGAGAAGAAGAATGATTATGAAAATCTCTTGAACCACTATCTCAATCAAAATTACCCATTTTTCCTTTTTACTAATATAAAAGTGTCCCAGTTTTGCTGACCCTTTTCTGTGGTGGCAGATAGTTTCAAGCACATCAGTATTTTACTCAGTCCTTCAAAGGAACAAACAAACCAGTTGCTATTGACTTGATTCTAATAGTGAATCCAGTATGTTTCAGATTAAAACTGTGCTCCACAGGATACTTAAGGCTGTGATGTCTCTTAAGGAGATCACCAGGCCTTTCGTTAGAGGAGCCTCTGGCTGTGTTCAGATGCTATCCTTTGGTTGGGAGTTGAGTGCTTAATTGTTTCTGCTACGCAGAGACCCCCCTTCAAATTAAAGGTGATATTTTAACAGTAAGTGATAAATTAACTCATCTTCAATGAATTTTTCTTTAAACGTTTTCATGAAAAATATAAAAATGCAACA